CATCGGCCTCATGACTTCCGAAGGAACTCGGCTTTCATCATGAGACGTCATAATTATTCCTTCTACTCCCAGGGCAGAGTTTGAAAGGTTTGAATGATTTTTTCTGGTTAGCGTTTTTTTAGCGAGTTGATTTTCTACGGGATGGGGTCGCTAACCCCATGCCCAACCCTCCTCCTTTACCCGGGCTTGTGACCGGCAGTAACCCCCAGAGGAGCTACAGGCGGAGTTACCCAAAGAAATAAATAGTAACAAATCTAACTTTGACAATGACCTGAGTCTTAAACCTACAGAGAGCAGTGATTTTCTTAAGTTAACAGATACGCTTTGTTAGTATGGGGATATTACTATGATAAGCTTAAAAGCTCTTTTTACATACTCACTTCAATGTTATCATCACACTGCCTTCTAATTGTTAGAATTCCACCAACATTAAATTTATGAGTTTTATAAGCACAAGTGGATGATTGCTAAAAGAGCTTCTGAATTACGAAAATATCAAGACAGGATGCACATATACTAATAAGAGATTGATCAATTGAAATCCGAAGCGTCGATGGGAAGATCCAAACAACCAATACCTTCTCTATATACTGTTGTTATGTGTATATTTTTGCCGTTAAACAGTTTGGATCAAAGTGTAAGAAACCCTAGATTTACATTTTACATTAATCAATACTTATCATCAAATCGTATGTACATTCTGAATGTAACTAGAGTTTCTCAATAGTTGAAGATCATCATCATCTAGCTTCACATTCTTAGAAGTTATCAAAAGATTAATAATTCAGCGATTAATCACTGTCAATCTATCACTGAAAGATGACAAATGCCACATGTTTTTACTGCTTTGGTGTTGATCAAGTCCTTTCAGTTATTCTTCTCAGTGTAGCCAATGAGATGAAGTATCTCATTGTAAAGATCTATTTATGTCGTAATTAAAAATAATCAAAAGATTCCAGTTCATACTAAAGACTGAATAAGATTCATAATCAATTAATGTAATGTATCACTGTATAGATCGTGTTAACTTTAAACTTTTGACCTGAGAAGATTATCTTTCATGGGTCAAATAATCTATAACATTTACAATAATTACATAATGTATAATTAACAGTAATTTACATTGTTCTAGCTCTTAATGCAAGATCAAACAACTAAGCTTACTGGTTATGAAAACTTTTACAACAATGTGCATAAAGTTTTTCAACTATATCCAACAGTTGTAAGCAAAGATGGATAGTGGCTAGCAGTTGAATTCAGTTTGACGCAAGTTTCATCCTATTTGGGACTCGTCAGCTGGATGTACCTGTATCTCAGAGTTGATGTTCACTCTGGAACTCAAACCCAGTACTTTTCACTTAAAACACCATCGTGTTATCCACTCAGCTACTGAGTCCTGATAACCACTTGCTTTTGTAATCTATCCAACAGATTTTTTTTCAACATAATAAGATTATAAATTCACTTAGTATTGTTTGTTTGAACCTTCCCATCGATGTGTTAGAACTGCAACTGGTCAGTCTCTAATTGGCATATGTGCATACTGTGCGTATTGCCTCGATATAGCCTTGATTCACAAGCATGATAAGCAAAGATGGGTTCGAGTCCCAGAGTGAACATCAAATCTGAGATGCAGGTACATCCAGTTGACGAGTCCCAAATAGGACGAAACGCGCGTCCTGGATTCCACTACTAGCCACTATCCATCTTTGCTTATAATAAGATTATTCTTTTAAAAAAAAACTAGATTTATTTTTAATGAGAGGTGAATAAAAACATTCCATCGAATGCCTTCAACAGAAGTTAGCACTTGTTAATCATAAGTACCGACAATTTTATATAAAGAATTTGACTACTATTATAACCATTCATTTATGTGTGTGTTTTTTCAATCCATTATAATCCATTATGATTTCAATATAAATACAACTGATCACTTACGTGTTAAAGGAATCATTTACCATAATCTATTCAAGTGACAATTTATTAAAAATTCAACTTAGCAACAATCGAAAATTTGATTTATTATCATTACTATTGAAAAGTTCATCAAAGCAACTAATATCTAACCTTGTTAATAACTACAGATCATTCTGTGATGTTCATTCATTATAAATTAAAGTTTAAAAACCAATATGTGACTGATTATCATATACATGTTCATTACACAATGATTATAATAGAGTAACTTATTAAGTTTATAATACAATGGATATGTAATTGTATTTTTTTTTTAATATTTGATGGTTACAACAGACATCATATAAATCCTGTCGAGGATAAAGTTCACTTTTAATCATTGTTTTTGATCATTCTACTTCCAGGTTTTCCTTGATCGTCTAGCTTCAATTGACTTATGCTTTCAACTATGCAAATACTAAATCTCCACAAAAAACCCCTTCTACTTGAATTTATAATAGTTATAGTATCTGTGAATGTGAAAATGGGTAATTTGACTGTTTACTCAGTATTATATATAAGTTTAATATTACGAAACTATTTTGTTAACCTATTTACAACAACATATTAAAGGTTAACAAAATTTTTACTCGCAGTCTAATGTGGAGTGTTGATTATTTTGAATTACATACATACTTACTTACTTACGCCTGTTACTCTCAATAGAGCATAGGCCACCGACCAGAATTTTCCAATACACTCTGTCCTGAGTCTTTCTTTTTAGTTCTATCCAACTTTTGTTCATCCTTCTCATGTCTGTCTCCATTTCTCGACGTAATGTGTGTTCTTTGGTCTTCTTCTTCTTCTCCTATGGCCTTCAGGATTCCATGTAAGAACTTTTCTTGTGACACAATTTGGTGATTTCCTCAAGGTGTATTCTATCCACTTCCAGCACTTCCTCCTCATTTCTTCCTCCACTGGAATATGGCTTATTCTCTCCCACAGTAGAATGTTGTTGATAGTTTCTTGCCAACGGATCGGAAGTTAAAAAACTGTTAATAAACACCTGTATCTTGTGGATGATGGCTTTCGTAGTTCTCCACGTCTCCGCCCCATATAGTAGAACTGTCTTGACATTTGTATTGAAAATTCTGATCTTGTTGTATGTTGACAATTGTTTTGAGTTCCAGAAATCATATAAAGACCGAGAAAACAACCTGAATGTTTTGTATAATAAAAGAGCCAGATCATCTGCGAAGTCTAAATCGTCCAGCAGCATCCCAGCTGTCCACTGTATCCCGTGACTTCACCCAGTTATTGACGTCCTCATAGTCCAGTCGATAACCAGGAAAAAGATTATTTTGAATTGCCATAAACCTAATCTTCATATTATACATTACGGTGTATTTTTCAATTTTGTATTTTATTAAACATACTAATTTTTTCGGATAATTTACATAATTACCAATTTCATTATTATTAAAACAATTCATTGCTACTGATTGTGACTCGTCAACTGGATGTAACTGCACCTCAGACTTTATGTTCACTTTGGGACGCGATGGCGTTTGTAGCGAAAGGTACTAGGTTCGAGTCACAGAGTGAACATCAAGTCTGAAATGCAGGTACATCCAGCTAACGAGTCCCAAATAGGGCGAAACTCACATCCTGAATTCCACTGCTGGCCACTGTCCAACTTTGGTTATAATTATTATAAGGATTATTACCCTGAAGAAGTCCAGACAATTTAACCGTACGAAACTTTGGAATTGTTGAAATTTCAATCAACGAAATCATTTCAAATATAATTTTCACATATATTGAATTATTATAAACAATTATTTAATGATAAAACTTTCTAATAATTAGATTAGTAGGTGATGAACAAACAATATATATGGTCTTAGTAATTATTATACACATTATATTTGAAATAGTTTTCCTAAAACATTATTGTTAATCCAGTTAAATATTTACATTCATTTGATCCGATATTTATATAAATGATGATCGAATACTCCATAAACTATCAATAACTAATCAATTTTATCTTAACTGACCAGTTTCAGTCCTAAACATCAATGGGAAAATTTAAACAAACAATATCAAGTGAATTTAGACTTCACTTCATTGCACAAGCTAGTGGTTATCAGGACTCAGTAGATAAGTGAATAATGCGATGGTGTTTCAAGCGAAAAGTACTGAGTTCAAGTTCCAGAGTGAAGATCAACTCTGAGATACAGGTACATCCAGCTGACGAGTCACAAATAAGGCGAAAAGTGCATCCTGGATTCCACTGCTAGCCACTATCCATCTCTGCTAACCATACTTGTGAATTAAGGTATATCGAGGCAATACGCACAGTATGCACATATGCCAATTAGAGACTGACCAGTTGCAGTCCTAACAAATCGATGGGAAGGTTCAAACAAACAATACTAAGTTGAATTTAAATTTCTACTTAAGTTATTATATTCTGTCATATTCAGAGACTGATCCACAATTGTATTTCACATCAATTTGTTGTAGGATAAATTGACAATAAACATAATTGTCAGTTCAACTATATAAAAGTACTAACTCTAACTGTAACATATATCGGATAAGCAAAGTGTTTCTATAGAAACCTAGTATATAGCAGCCTGGTATATAAGACAGTACCATGTGAAGAAATGACTTGCAATTTTGAGTGTATGAGTTATGCAAAAAAAATAGTCTGAATTTCCTTACAATCTATGAAGAGCTATTTAGTTCAGAAAATACTGCAACAATGAAGTACCAGTAGGCTGATTAATTTAGTCCTGAATCTCATGAATATATTTTTCTTTACTCAAAAATGGTTATCTAAACGGTCATAGAATGATCTTTTATAGATAAATGTTTTTCGTAGGCTGATAGTTTATCTATATAGTACAGTCATTTCTTTAATAATTTTCTAATCGCTGAACTCTACTGAGTAATATACAAAATAAAAAAATTTTCCTCCAATCAAAATATTGTATTAGTATCAACCAATCAAATTAAAGCACTTACAATTATATAAACACAATCAAGTCATAAGATCAGGCGCAAATTATAAGAAATCTATTTTTATTATCAATATGCCTGGACTCATTTCAACTGAAAAAAATAAAATTCTTAGAAAAATATTAATTCCAGTTTATGAAAGTCTTGAAGCTCATAAAGCCATTATATGGTATATGAATAATCTAAAACATCCTGGTGATTTAATTATATTCCTTCATGTTGTTGAACCTATTCTACCATCTGCTTTATCTGGATTATCAAGTCAATATGAATCTATGCCATTTAATGATAAATATCATATATCTGAAAAAAATATGAATAAAGCTAGATTATTATGTCAAGAATTAGTACATGAAGCAAATATTTATGGTATCAAATCAGAAGCAATGATACAAGTCGATACAAAACCAGGTCCAGCTATTATTAAAATAATTAATGAACAACATATTGATAATATTATAATGTTAAAACGTAGTTTAGGTTTTATTAAACGTGCTATTACTGGTAGTGTTAGTTCATATGTATTACATCATTCAAATGTACCTGTTACCATTTTATCATCTATGAATAATTAAAAGAAGAAAAAAAGTATTCAATAGAACAAAAATTATTGATTTCTCTTTACTATTTTCTTTGTTTGTTTTTTTTTATCAAAAAATAAAAAATAAAACGCATTTTTCATAAACAATGAAAGTATTTTGTTTAAAAAATTTCCAAATGATCAAACGCCCCCCTCTTTCTCTCTCTCTTTTTTTCGGTTTTTGTTTTTCTTTTTTTTTGTTTTTTTTTATCTTTCTATAATGTATCATTTATATTTTATATTATTGTTGTACATTAAAATAGATGGTTTGGTTTGTTTGTTTTCTTTTCTGATCAGAATGGACTTGACCCTCTTTTTTTCTTTTTTTTTTAATATTTTTAATTATATTTGAAAAACAAAACCCAACTTCAGTTTATGAAAGAAATATGAGAATGTGTTTTTTTTATGGACATTATGATAGAGCCGTATTGAAACTTGAATAAACAAGCAAATCTTTTCTAAGGATAATAACTCAAGGGAACTTACTAAGAATGAAAATTTTCATATTGAAATCATATGGTCAACTCTTTACAATGTTAGTAATGGTAGTAGTAATAATAAGGAGATTGGTAGTATTAGTGTGGTGTTGGCTACTTATAACAACATAAGTAGTATATATATATATGATGGTCGAGCATTAAATGTATTTCAATAGAAGAACGGAAATGAAACGCGATTGGTATGAAAATGTATGAACAATAATGATCGAAGACTATGGACTGATATTTGCAGAAGGAATGATCAAGATAGAAACAATTGATTGATAATTTGTAAAATAATTGTTTACTGTATGGTTGTCAGATTTTGATGAGATATTCTGTAATTCTGTGCTTGAATACATTCGATTGTCCCCACCCGTGTTCTTGTTCACTGCATTGGTAGTAATACTGTTACTGTTATTAGGAGTAGTACTAATGGTAATACGCTGTGTGCTACTGATATAAATTGTATGTATAGCCAATCGAAAGTGGGATGCTTGAAAGAGAATGAGAACAGAGAGTGACTGGTATGGGAACGAAAGAACAACAAATTTTGAAACAATTGATGAATATTTTGCATATAAAGTATTGAATGTATGGTTCTAAGATCTTACTAAGGAATTCGGTAATTTCGTATTCAAATTTATTTGTTTTTCGTCATCTGTGTTCTCGTTTGTTACAGTAGTAGTACTTCTACTATTAATGGTAGTATTAGTAGTTACTCGTAACGTGAAAAGTCTTCTTGGTCGAATACTTTTAATCTTTGTATAGATTCTTTTACATTCCAATAAAGTATTTAGATTTATAATTTTGACAAAATTTATAAGTCATATGTCATGATATCTGAAAGACCATAGGAACTTGTGAAAATCTACGATGAATTCCAATATGACATTCTTGTCTGTTGAAATTTGAAATTAATGGATTCTTAAATCTATTCTGATTATAGAGTTGAGATGATGAGTCAATTGAAGCTAGACCACCATGGAAAACCTGGAAGCACTGGACGGCCGTTTCGTCCTATTATGGGACTCCTCATTAGTGTGCATCCACGATCCCGCACTCGCGGGATTCGAACCAAAGACTTACAAGTTTCGAGCGGGATCGTGGGATGCGCACTGATGAGGAGTCCCATTATAGGACGAAATGGCCGTCCAGTGCTTTCAGGTTTTCTATAGTAGTCTGGCTTCAATTGACTCATCATCTCAACTCTATAAGATTACTAAAATCTCCACAAAACCCCTTCTGATATTTATTCTGATTAGTTGAACTTATTATCTTATTGTACCATATGATTTAAAACCTTTTTTAAATAACTTGATCTTCAATTATCAACTACCTTATCATACCATAAATGACCTCAGTATTTAAAACTTAAAAGAATGATAGTTAGATACATTAATATAATTAGTGTTAAACTAGTATACTGTGTTAATTAACATAGAATACTCTAAATCACTTAATCGATTTTTAGATAGATATCACGCAGATGAAATATGATATAAAGTATGCGCTTATACATTTATTGTAGTGGTTATTTATTTTGTAGATGTGAACAACAATAAAACTAGAACTATTGTTGATTAACTAGGCCTTGAACAGATTCCTACTTCCTTACATAAATTATGTATATTCTTTGCTTTGTAATGAACTTTCTTATGCCTTCACGACTACATATAGGATAGGACTTAGGAACTTTAGACCTCAGGGTGTGTACATTACTTTTAGGCCATTGACTTCTAGTCCAACAATTCAAGTTTTCAAGTTCAATCAGCTGCTTATTAATGATGTGTTAAATAAAATTTTAAAGATAACGCAGTTGTTGTAGGGAATAAAATAAACATACTACAGAGACTTCCTACACTTTTCAGACAACTGTCCAGTAATCCTTGGTATTATATAACTATCTAGTTGAAGTCAGTTTGCAAACCCACTAGCTTAATAATTGATAAGAATCCTATAGACAATCTTCGTTTAGTTCGGGAAAAATATCGGTCACTGGGAGATATTATCCAAAAGTTCTAGAACAGGTAATTTTAACTCTGCTAGTTATTTAAAAGCCAGATTAGCATATAAGGATATAAAATCATCGCTACTATTCTACTAAATTTAAGATACATTATTAACTAATGTCAGTTGACTTCTAATACATAATTAGTGCCAAATTATAAATTTAATGTTGTCTAATACTCATTTTTAATCAAACTCTAAGATTAAATTTTCAGTATGACTTTAAGGTGGTACAGAAGAATTGTAACCCAGGAGATGAATTTCATGGGAAGCTTCACATGCTCCTACAAAATGTTAAAAGTTCAGATATAGTAATAGCGGCTAGTGATTTTAATCCCCATGCATGTGTAGTGCCGCGATTCGTTAATCGTTAACCTTATAATGCTAATCTTAACAGCGCGTAAAATCAGAAGACAAAGGATAGCAGCAACTACAGTTTGTTGTCGAATAACTCAGGTCAGAAAGCTAACAACACCTGAGTGAACAAGCGAATAAGCGAAGGAAGCGGACGAGGCGCAAGCGAGCGAATAGCAAATAATCACATAGGCAATTTATAGTCGAATTTAATAAGGGCACAGCAAAGCAAAACAAATGCTGATGACAATATTTGCGTGCGTGCACATATGGGGAGGAGTATGAGTCATCGAATGATATATAAGCAGTCAACATTTTGGATAGAGCGTCATGTGTTTTAGTGGTTTAGCAGTGCAAAGAATATGCAAATTGTTACTATCCAAATGACGATGTCTGTTAAGTAAGTTAATAAAAAGGGCTTAATCAAAATTGACCACAATCGAAATTGATTGTAGGATGGTTGCTATACATGTATAATAAGCCAGAGAACAAGGAACTCGGGTGAATCTTACGGTGTTGCGGTCCAGCAAACAGACAGTTATGACTTCCTGCTGCAGCAATGCTCAGGAAGCCGTTCTAAGAAGTCTGAACTTTAAACACAAAAAGCACATCATCTGAAATGGTGACCCTCACAATCGACAAAGCAGTGGACTCAAACAGACCATATTGTCATCAGCCCTTGTTGAAGAGACTTGATAGAAGATAGTCGCTCATTCTAAAGTCCATGTTTAGACTCCGGTCGTGCTCCAGTTTAAGCAAGTATTATTTTACATCTTACGGGACGTGGAAAAGCTGCAGTAAGAAAACCGCTTACAGTTAAACCTAATAGTAAAATAGTCAAGAATGTATCTCAGGAACGATTATAAGAGCTATTCAACAATGAAAATGATATTCACTTCTACGTAACTCGGCATGATGTCTTAAAGGTTTTAGAAACGGAAGTGAAATTTACTAGCAACTTAAGCCAAAAAGCTAGGAAAAAATGCGGATTTCAACAGCATCTACAGAACTGACAGATGCTCGGAAACTCATCCCGTCTAGCAACAAACACAGTGAGAAGCGAAGGCGGCTCAAACATAGACTGGTAAAAAACCTTCCAATAATCGTACGTAGTGGTGGGTAACTAAAGGAGAAGAGATGGAAAAGAAAGTAGCTATAGGTAACCGTAGACAACTGTTTAGACTTATCAAGAGAGCGGATATTAAAACTCTCACTGTTAGTCAGGTTACTTTGGAAAGAGATTGGCCCATTATTCACTCTCAATCCAGGAGATCCTATCGATGGCCAGAGCACTTTAGAAGCAGTACAACCGAACTCCAGTCACCTTTTTAATTACCCACTATCTCTAACCAACGTGAATGATAAATTGATGTAAGTCCTCTAACTCTTAGTGAGGTCAAAAAGGTTTTAAGTAATCTAGAGCAAGGGAGAGCAGCAGGGTCTGATGAACTAACCCATGAGATTTATAGGAATAGTACAGTTTTTGCAGTTGGATTAACTAAAATCTAGGAACTAGACGTAATCCCATCCGACTGCTCTCGATCGTTGATCGTCCCAATCTACAGGGAAGGACAAAAATCCTCTTGTGACAATTACAGGGAAATCAATTTAACTAATATAGTGTCTAAAATTTTAGCCTCAATAATACTCAATAATAATAATAATAATAATAATAATAATAATAATAATAATAATAATAATAATAATGTCTAACTGGAGCTCGTAATGAGCGAACCCTAGAAAACCAGGCAGATTCTGAAACATAAAAATACTTTCCCACGTTGCATTTCTTAACCTTAAGTCAGCGTTCTGTAGCAGTATCCATCAAAGGATTACACTAACTTTTTACTCACACCCCACTTGGACACCACTGATCGAGTCAGAGCCTATGTCAAGCTTTCATCAGAACTGGTTACTTCAAGTGGTATTCATCAGGGTTTCCAGCTTTCCCCATTTTCATTTAATTCTGTCATTGACATTCTTTTATAGATAACACTTTTAACTTCTGACTTTTCAAAGACTGATCTCCTACCAGAGAGTTCACTTGTTAACTCAGAATAAATAATAATAATAATAATTTTGTTTGGTGAAGACTTTGATAAAATGCAGAGTCTTCTGACCACCTTAAACAACAATCCAAACATGTGTTTCC